GTTCAACAGAACATTGTCTTCACCATCTTCAGAACTTAGAACAACATAAGTAAAGCTTTATAAGGCCTCCAAAGCTTCCTTGTGTAAGTCGCGACCATAAGCTCTTGTACTAACGTTCCTTAGAACGGTTGCATAAGAAGAATTCTAGAATCTTGACTTAACTTGTAACACACCAAAGGTATTATTATAGAGTGTTGAGTTCAGAGCCTGATGAAATCACACGCCTTTTTACTAGAGTCAGAACCTGCTTAGCAAAAGCCACACACTAGACATAAACAATTAGAGTACACAATTGTTCTCTAAGATAACATGTAGAGTTATCATTAAAATATAAGGCCATATGCAGAACCAATCTTGTTCTTACAGTTCTCTCTCTCTCTCTCTCTCTCTCTCTCTCTCTATATATATATATATATATATATATATATATATATATATATATATATATATATATATATATATATATATATATATATATATATATATATATATATATATATATATATATATATATATATATATATATATATATATATATATATATATATATATATATATATATATATATATATATATATATATATATATATATATATATATATATATATATATATATATATATATATATATATATATATATATATATATATATATATATATATATATATATATATATATATATATATATATATATATATATATATATATATATTTTATTAGGAATTTGTTAAACTCTTTGATTATGCAATTGATTCGTATAGAAAAATCCTTTGATTGTTGAATTGCTTTGTTGATTACATTGCAATCTATTAGATTGTAAGAGGTAATTCATACCAACAAAGATCAAAGGAAAATCTGAAAAAGTAAGTGTACACCAAGTGTTTGATAAAATTTTTCACTTAATTTTATCAATTGTTTCATTGGATATTGGTTGTCCTTGTAATTGTAAAACAATTACTTAAGAATTTATTGTATTAAGATCTTGTCATCATAATTTAATTGAGTTTAATTTTATACATATCTGAGCCTCCAATAACCAGTTCAGTTTTGACGACTTGTGATCTAGGATACGACTACCGCTTGCCATAGTTTTTCTTAATTTTTAAAAACAAGTTTTTATGTGAAATTTTTTGTGGGGATCTATTCACCCCTCTCTAAATAAGTTTCAGTCTTCTAACAATTATCGCCAAAAAAGGAAAGTCTTCATGCCCGGATGCCACATGAGAATACAGGGAAAATGTCATTTGATTTGGGGAGATTCAAATTCCACCATAAGTTTGGTGATTGTGTTAGAAGATTATAAGAGAGGTCTTGGTGTGAGTTATGTACAAAGATCTAAAATAGTCGAAAATCGTTTATAGTGTGAAGGGACTAGATGTACCATTGGTTGATAAACTAGGATATATCTTTGTGTCTTTTACTTTCTTGACTCTTAATTTCTTGCGTTTTTCATTCTAATTTTAATAATTTAATTATGAAAAAATTAAAAGGGAAGAATCTTTTCTTAAAACAAGAAAATTCTAAAAAAAACCTAATTCAACCCCCCTTAAGTTGCACTCTATACTTACAGTGCCTCCATCCGAATGATCGCTTCACACTTATATGAGTTTGCTTATATGCCTCTCTCACTCGAACAAAAACCCAAAAAATTTCCAGCTTGACTTCTCTATATTTAACCTCATATTGTATTTTCTATTTCTTTGGAACACACGTGCGATATGCTTGTCGTGTAGCTCTTAATTGTTAATTTAAAATTCATGTCATTTATGTATACCTCTAGTGTTTCACCTATTTCTTCCTTGAAAACCTTGTTCAACTTTATTTGGTACGTCACTGCTTCATTCTTCAGGATAAAAGGCAACGCGTTGTACTGGTATACAACAACATTATTTGGTACGATCTCAAAAGTTATTTTCTCCTTGTTCGTCTCGTACATGGGTATCTGGTTGTAGTCGGAAAATGCATCCATAAATGAAAAACAACTTGTACACGGTCGAATTTCTTACCCCTTATCAATATTCTAAAGTGGATACAATTATTTAGGGCACACCCGATTGAGGTCCTTGTAATCAACACGCATAATACACTTCTCTGAAGCCTTCCTGACTAACAATACATTGTAAAGAAATTCGTTATATTTCACTTAAGAGATTAAGTTAGCATCGACCAAGCCTAAATTGTCTTCCTGGTCGCTTCAGATTTTTGGGGGACTTCTGCCTCCTTCGCTCAGATACATATCAAGCACAAGGTATTCCATGCTCGGCTATATGCATGACATCTTGCAAGGGGAGATTGGGACGAGGTGGACATTATTCCTTAGGCATTCAACAAGTTCATCCTTTACTATGATCAGTGTATAATCCCCTACTCAAACTGACTGCATTTGGTTATCATCGAGATAGATGACTTCAAAATCGATAGTCAGAATCTTCCTCAAAGTCTTCATATTGCCCCCCAGTTGATGTTCTAAGCTCGTCGTCTTGCAAGAATTTATCCATGTATACATTGATATCGACTATGTTGATTGCTTCATATGCCTTCTTTTTTCTTTTCTCATAGGAGACATCAGCTTCTAGGGGTTACTTAGTATTTTCTCATGCATAAGACGAGTTCCACATATGTCAGCTTTAACAATGACTCGTTTATCTGAATCGTTGTGGTATTTCATCTTCAGATGGACCATAAAGGCTAAAATGTCTAACGTCGACAAAAATAGTCTTCCAAGAATGTCATTGTAGACATTTTCACAAGGGATTACAAGTAAATGCACATTTACAATTCTCTTGTTCTTCCCCTCTCTAGAGGAAACTAGTAGGTCAACTGTTCCACATGGTCGAGTTGAAGAATCGTTGAGCTCTAGGAGGCTTCTGCCTTCACACGCTTCAAATATTTTATATGCAACCCTAACTTCATGAAAATTCTGTGATACATTAGGTCGCATGAACTTCCATCGCCAATGAGGATCCCTGATACTTAATGATTTGTTATGGTGGTGTTTATGACCAGTGAAAACGTTGTATTAGGAGTTCCATCCACCTTCTTGTGGTCTCGAAACCCTAAAATTGGTCTATCCTTCAGACTTCTTGATTTTCATTTTTGATTTAAGGGAGTTATGTAGTGGGCTTTCTCTCGCTGGGCAGTTTCCTATCGATCGAGATGAAGACGAAGATCGAAGATGATCTTAGAGTTCAAAGGATTTAAAGTGATCTCAAAAATAAGGGAAATAGTTTCTTTCTTTATCTTAGCATAACTGATACAACGATCGTAAATTTGACATATTAGATTGTGGAAATTTGCTAGAATCAAAAGTTGGTTCCCACAAACAACACCATTATTTTGCTGGGGAACTAGAAATGATTGGTGAAATTGTGAGATAAGATCTTGGATTAGTGGAGCAAGTTATGGTGCGGCGGAAAGAAGATTGACCTGCAAAGTTAACACTCTAACGTTTAAATCAATAAAAGAATGACAAATAAATGTGAGTGAGAATCCGATTAGATGATATATTTTTCTTTACATGGAGCACCTTATATATAAAAGTTAGTTTAGACATATGTACTTAGTGTTTGAAATGTGAGAGATCATTAATTGTAAGAGACCCATGATCAGGATCAGATGTAAAACTTTTTTTGGGTTAAATATGTTTTTGATCCTTATAAATATCTCAAATTTCATTTTTAATCCCTATTAAAAAAATGATAAATTTTGGTCCCTAAAAAATTTTTGTTCATCCAGTTTTAGTCTCTGCTATTTTCTAAAATTTTAAAAACTGTTTAATTACCCTTAAACTTTTAAATTTCTGAATAATATTTTTCATACGTGTTTAGAATACTATAAAATGTTTCTTTATCAAATTTTAGAATTTTTTAAAATGAGAAGAATTAAATATGATTTTTTTAAGTTTCAAAAGATATTGATAAAAATAATAAAAATCTCAACTTAGAAATCAAATTTTGAATTTCTTTTTTTTCAAAGAATTTTTTATAACGTTCTAAACATATCTATAAAAATACGCATTAGTTTAACAAGAGAACCTAAAACTACGTATATAATAATTTTGTAATGACTAAAACTTATCATTATTTTAATAAGAATATTTAATCCAACTTTTTTTATTGGATCTTTGTCCAATCTAAAACAAAAATCAAATTGATCCATGGCCGATAGATTTTAAGTTAGATTCCAAAAGAGATGCGAATAACTTTTACTTTTTATTGGGTAATATCTTTGAGTATGTGCTCATAATTATCTTCTCCAAATGTCTGTTTTCGTAATATTTACGTTAAATATATTTTTGGTCCTCTAAAATATTTCATATTTATTTTTAATATTTAAAAAAAAATTTAAAAAAATTTTTTTTTTTAAAATTTTAATTTTAATTTTTGATCTCTTATATCAAAATCATCATTTAAATTATCGCCAACTCGATCACTAAATAAAAAACTGTTATTAAAATCGTCGTTAATTTTCTTACTAAATTGTACAAACCTTCACTAAATTATAAAAGGATCAAAATTAAAATTAAAATTTTTAAAAAAACTATTCTTTAAATTTTTTTTTAAAAGAACTAGAATTTAAATATAAGAAAAATTAAAAACATATTTAACACTATTTTCTTAACTCTAAATCTAAATTTATTCAGGAAAAAAGAAAAGCCACATGGTAATAAAAAAGCCACTATGGTAATTTTCACGTTTCCATAAAAATTCTCAATTCTATTCACCGAATTGTTGCTAATAAAATAAGTTAACTTTGCCTCCTTAGAAAGAAGAAAAAACAATTTCTATCTATTCTATAAAGTCAAAGAAAACCAATTCTTTTTATTACCAAAACTTCTTGCGCACAAAGTTTTCTTAACGCATCATTTTCACATAAACGACAACCCAAAACTCCCAACGCCCTTGATGTAACCGATTCAAGTACAATAAATTCAACCAAAAAGCATAACAATAATACAACAACATTATTAACTAACCCACCTCTAGATTTATTGGTCTGATCTAGGCCCGGGCCGTAGAGCCCAAAATAGAGTAATCAGGCACAGACCCAGACCCAGACCCGGATCTTACAGCTTCAACGATCTTTAATTCAGTTCGGGCCTGACCCAAATCATGCTTACAGTAATTCCTAACAGCCGAAAGCTCATACGGCGACGTATCCGTCGCCAGCCACTGTTCCACCGTAAACTGTTCCTGAGCGCAAGGCGTATGCACCCCAGTTGAAGTAACCTCAATATAATTAACATACCACCCGTGATGAGGACCCGACCCGTCCGAAGTCACGTTGATAGCACAAACGGGTCCGTCCAAACAAGGACCCTTGCCACTGAATATATCAAGGTTGCCCCGCTCAAAGTAGTTGTAACCCGAACCCATTAACCCGCCCCATGCTTCAAGATCCTTGATATATATTCCGTAACCGGATGCGTCGTATAGCTTGAGCCCGATGATTGAGTCCGTTCCGCCTTTGATTATTGACCCGGTTCTAACGTACACCGTGTACACACAATCTTCCTCCTATATAAAAAATATTTAATTATTTTTTACTAAATTTATGAGTCACCGACACCTCATAAGCGATTCTAACACCGACACGTAATACCCATAATCACAAATGTCAGAGTGCGTTCCATACACATAAGGTTTTTTTTTCAAAAGTGTTCGTGCTACATAAATAACTAATTAACAAGAGAAAGTAATAATATAGAGAGAAAGTCTTACAGAGTTAATGGTTGCTGCGAAGCAAAACGTGAGAAGGAAGAAGAGAGGGAAGAGAGTGGTTGGAGTAGCCATGAGAATGAGATGGAGCGGGTGGAATTAACTATGTTTGTTAAGTGATAGGTGTGTTAATAAATAGAGGAGGGACAAATGGATTCATCAAGTTTAGGACAGTTTTTATTGATTTGTTTTTTATTATTATTTTTGAAAATGTTATTGTCATGTCCTTATCTGAATAGTAATTTTTTATTTTTTATTTTGAAAAAATTAAGCAAATACGTGTTGAGAATATAATTATTTTTAAAAATTAAATTGAAATGCAACTTAAAGAAATTTTACATACTTACTGATTGATAATCGTTAAATTTTAAAATAGGTTTGATTTTTATTTTAATTATTAATAAAATAATATTTATAAGTGGTTTTTTTTAAGAAGCTAAAAAAATATATTAAAAGTCAAATAATCCTTCAAGTATAAGGAGTATCTGAAGAAATACAAAAATATTGTTATAACGGCAACAAAATCAAAAGTAACACTTAAAACAAAAACAAAACTATAAGACAGTAGCTACAATTTACTGTATGAGATTTAGTTTTCAACTCAGATAATCGAAATTGAACGAAAGATAATGATATTTCAACCATCAGAAAGATTCACTATTACAAAACGCGTAAACGACAACGTTATAATCACCACAGTTCTTCCCTAAATCGTGGTGACATCTTCAAACTAAGACGCTCTCATATTGTTTTTGTTTTTTGATTTAAAATTAATTGTATATAACAACGATTGAATCAACCGTGGTGAATTCGTCAAGCTTTCATGGGTTCGAACCTCAACGACATCATCTATATTATTTCACTAGTATTAAGGCACACCTTTTCTTTTTTATTTATTTTTAAATAAAAAACTTAAAGGGTTATGACTACGGTTGGTTTGTTCTCCCGTTGTGATATAGTTTGTTTTTTATTTAAAAAATTTAATTGTAAATTAAACTCTGGTGTTTCTTTATGAAATTTCACTATGAAAGTAATATATCATAATGGTTTATGGATTTGACTGTGGTGGTATCTTTATAATATTATACACTCCTAGTTAGCTTGTCTCTTAAGTATCCTTTTTTCCATTGAAAAAAGAAATTAGACAAAATAATACACGATTTCAACCCTAAACCTTAACGTTCAATACTATGAAACAATCCATGATTTCAACCAAAACACTATCGTTCACCCTAACTTGTCTCTTTAGTATCCGTTCTTCACTGCATATTTGTCATTTTCGTCATCATCATCAAGGTTGACAAGATCATCATGATCGTGGCGTCGAGAAAGAAGAGTACACCAATAAAGTTGCCACCGTCGAGAAGGAAGACAACAACAACACCGTCATTGTCGTAAGGAAGGAAGACAACACCAACATCAACACCAACATCATTTATTTAATCATCACGTTTAGGGTACATAAATATTTTCCCCATGTGTAACACCCCAATTCTACCCCGACAAATTATATAAATAAATCGGAGTTATAAAAATCATTCATGCAAACGAATCGGGATGCCACAAATTCTTCTTTCAAAACACATTGCATTCATCGTGGATATATAACACTTTTAAAACATCGGATGAACCATCATCATAACATCTTTAATTAAATAATTCAACATCTACGCAGCGGAGTTCTTGATAACATCTTTATCATCATTACAGCAACTTCAAAACAACACAATTTAATAATAATCAACTTAAAGTTCAACAACTGAATAATCAACAATCAAAAGCAACAAGCGTTCATCCCCCCGAGTGTTACATATCAGAGCAATGACACCGACTCGAACTACTGAAGGTATACAATCTTCACTCTCGATTACCTGCACGTTACTAACATAAGGGCAACATTCAAACAGAAGGGGTGAGATATCTAACAATATAATAAAGCGCATGATAATTAATATATTAAATTAGATCACATAGCATCACCACTTCTCATCTCATAATCAACAATAATCACAACAATAATACACATTCACAACATCAATACACACTTCTTTATGAAGTCATATAATGCGACTCAATACTATGCAAATGCATGTGGTACTATTGGAGCAGAACTCCCATCTCAAAAATTGCCAATTAATAGAGGCATCAACAAGGCATAAGCCTTCATCTCAATATTTGTCAATTCAGGTCATCTCAACGAGCATAAGCTTCATTTGAAAATGCAATGTATGCGACACAATCATGAATATAATAACAACATCATAATTGACAACATCTCAATACAACACCATCGTTGGCCAAAGGCCTACATCTCAAAGCATCTCAACATCTCTTTATCAACATCTCATATCTTTCATAATAATTCATCAAACATCATTTATTCGTCAAACATCATTTATTCATCAACCACAACTTCATTAATAACATCTCATCAACAACTCAGCTGTACTTTAATACGACAGTAACTCATCAATTTCGCAACGTTGGACATAGGCCTATACAAGATATTGCCTATAATTAATTAACCAACTAAAGCTTACTTCTAAATCACTGAATCTCTACATACTACTATTATGTACTATTGCATCATTATTATTATTAATCCTACTGTTACAAATCAAACAGCAGCTTCTAAGCATCTCATCTTCATTCTTCTTCATAAAAACCAACATAACGATCAACGCGGGAACTAATTCAAATCCTATGGTTATCCTTCCTATCTTCATTTTAACCCTTAAGAATAAAGCTCATCACGTTATCCATTCAACGCTTCGAATGACACCTCAAACGGAGTCCGAAAACTCAAGTTACAGCATCTTCAAAACTGATTCTGCCAAAAACCAGACAACATGGATCGACGCATATCGTCTTGGATCGACGCGTACTGAGTTTAACACGCCACATGAGTCGACGCATTACTCCGTTGTATCGACTCATACTGAGTCTAACACACAACATGTATCGACACACGCCCTTACGTATCGACTCAGCCTGAGTCTAAAAGTCCTCATGTATCGATGTAAGACCTCTTCGTGTCGACTCATCCTGAGTCTCTAAACCTTCATGTATCGACACATCATGTTTGGGATCGACGCATACTGCTCTATCCTGCATAATTCCTGCGATTTTCTCTGCATTTTCACTACGAGTTCTATACTTTAAGCCCTAAAAACTTAATCTAATCATAAGTAATCATCACTTACAGTTATCCTATGATTCTACATCAAATAAACAACATCGGGACATCATCATTCATCTTTCAATCATCAACTCTCATCATACAACAACATATACATTCAATTCATGAACAAGACAATAATCACCTCTAAACCCACATACCAATTATCACAAACCCTATTATAGAGTCAGCACCCCACCCTTACCTTGGATTGAAGGTCGCTCTATAATTTTCCGGTCCAAACCTCGTTCTGTCGTTTTCCCTCTTTTTCCAGTAGCTTCACGTTCTTCTTCTCAATCCTTATTCTTCTACTGCTTCTTCTTTTCTATTCTTTCTAACAATAATAGAATAACCTATTATTCTTTATTCCTTATTGGGCTTAAACTAATACACCCCCTTATTACTACTTATATTCCTTTAAAACAAGCCCACATCAAATAATGTCGTTCTTCTAATATTATCTCTCCACTTAATAAAATAATTAAATTCGATTAATCACAACACAACTTCACAAATATTCCAAAAATAATTTAATTAAATAATTAATTAAATTACGGGCGTTACAACTCTCCCCCACTTAGAATATTTTGGTCCTCGAAAATTTACCTCAATCAAACAACTCAGGGTAGGAGTCTCGCATATTGCTCTCCAACTCACAAGTCATGCTTTCTCCGGCAGCTCCTAGCCAAACCAATTTAACCAAAACAATCTCATTGCCCCTAAGAGTCTTAGTTTCACGATCCGCGATCCGTACAGACATCGTCTCCACCGTAAGATTATCCCGTACTTGCACATCGTCCATATGAATCACATGAGATGGATTTGAAATATACTTCCGGAGTTGTGACACATGAAACACATCATGCAAATTCAAAAGGTTTGACGGTAAATCAACTCTATAAGCAACATTCCCCACTCTCTCCAAAATATGATAAGGTCCAATAAAACGAAAAGTGAGCTTCTTAGACTTCAACGCTCTCCTAACACCAGTCACAAGTGTAACTCTTAAAAACACATGGTCACCAGCTTGAAATTCTAAATCTTTCCTTCACTTGTCATGATAACTCTTCTATCTACTTTGGGAAGCTTTCATCTTTTCTCAAATCAACTTCACCTTCTCCGTAGTTTCACGAACAAGTTCAGGTCCAAGTACTACACTTTCACCAGATTCATGCCAACGTAAAGGAGTTCTACATCTTCGACCATACAACGCTTCAAAAGGTGTCATCCCAATACTATAATGGCAACTGTTATTATAGGTGAACTCTATCAACGAAAGATAAGCATCCCACGAACCTCTCTGCTTAAGAACACATGCCCTCAACAAATCTTCCAACGATTGAATCGTCCGTTCAGTTTGACCATCTGTCTGAGGATGATATACTGAACTCAACCTTAACTTAGAACCCAATGCTATTTGCAAACTTTTACAAAAATCAGAAGTAAATCTTGGATCTCTATCTGACACAATGCACAAAGGAACACCATGCAACTTCACAATGACACTAGTGTAAATCTCAGCCAACTTCGACACTAGAAAATTGATGTTAATAGGAATAAAATGAGCCGACTTTGTAAGCCTATCAACAATCATCCAAATCGAATCATGTCCTCTTAAAGTATTAGGTAACCCCGTCACAAAGTCCATTGAAATGCTAACCCATTTACATTCTGGAACTTCTAACGGTTGCATCAATCCTGCTGGCTTCTGTGTTCAACTTTCGACTTCTGACAAGTCAAACATGCATACACAAACCGAGCCACATCACTCTTCATCCCAGACCACCAAAACAAACCTTTCAAATCTTGATACATCTTTGTAGCTCCTGGATGAATACTCAACTTACTTCTATGACTCTCTTCAAGTATCACTTTCTTCATCTCAGCATCATCAGGA